TGTTCCCTCTGTGTTAACTGGTGAAGGAGACCATAGAGTCTTCTAGAAATGATACAGTGTTTTCTGAGAAGGGAAAAGCAGAGGCGAGTGTGAGAACGTAGGGTTGGTGGAGCCACTTTTCATCTATCCCCCCAGGCATTATCTGCCTATCTCTAGTCTTCCACATGACACCCTGTCTGTTCTGACAGCATCCACTGAACTACACTTTCACCTCTGCCAGCCAAGGCTGCATCTGTCTGAGATGATGGACATACACTCTGCCCTATAGCACTGGGTATAAATGTCAAAGGCACTAAAGCTGGATCCTTCTTGCCCCTCCGGTGTAGGTGATTTAACCCTAGATCAATCACCTATGTACGTCACAACCATCATGGACATAATCTCTAATAGATCATGCTTGGCCCCTCTGATCCTGAGAGTTAGCTGTCGTCGGGTTTGGTATGTGGAACATTTTGTCTGAGGGACATGTTGGCCTGGGTTGAAAGTAACTCGCATCGCCTCAGAACCGGGTGGTTTGTCATGAGGCTATTTTTGAATTCTGTCTGGACTCAGGAAGTCCTTTGGATTGAGATCTGGGGTTTTTAAAGGCTAATAAGCCCATTGGCAATTTCTTTCATGGGAAACTGATACATGTGATGGCTCTGACTTCTGTCTAGTTCCCAAAGCAGAGATATGTGCATAATTTCTTTAGACTTTGGACTTCAGTGTCCTGAAGTTTCCCAAGGCCACGTCTTGGGCAGTCTGGAAGGGGTGTGCCTTGATTGCTGTCTGTGGAGGGCCAGAACAAGAAGGGAAAAATGTATGTCCCCCAAAGTGTCCCAAATGTACGCCTCTGTGTATATTTGACTGTGTGGCAATGCACATGTATATGCACGTTCAAGGGACATTGTTGTGCACACATGTGGCTATTTTGGGCTTACACATGTATATGTGTGCGCTCGCATGTGTGTGTGTGTGAGACTACAAGGGCATGCATGCTATGGCATGTTTGTGGCTGTCAGAGAACATTGTCAGTTCCCACTTTCCACCTTGTTTGAAATACAGCCTCTTGTTATTTGAGGCTGGGTGTGCCAGGCAAGCTGGTCCACATGTTCCTAGGGATTCTCATGCCTCTGTCTCCCATTTTGTCTCAGGAACTGGGATTACAGACCCATGTGTCAGTGGCCATCAAACATAAAGACTGTTATGACTGTCATGACAGTTGTCAATATCACTGTCACCATCGTCCTTTCTCCTCATCTTAATTGGTGGTATTTATTCTACGTGTGAAAATAGTTTATATTGAGATTCATTTATCTGAACTAATACTCCAGGGAAAGGAATGACTGTTTAAGCACTCTCATACACATGTCTCTGGCTACTTTAGTAAGTTATTTCTCATCCATTAAATGGCCCTAGGAAACATCCTTGTCCAGTGAGCTGCTTCTATGTGGGTGTGCCTCATAGTGGTACCAGAAATCAACCCTTCTTAACTCTAGTCAATGCACATAGGCCCAGAAAAGAAGAATATGGAACACACACCCATTCATGATTCCTCAGGATATTCAGATAAATTAGCATATAATAAACTGCACATCTTTAAAGCATGTAATTTGCAAAATTTTGACATATATACACCTTATAACTGCAGCTGTAGTCAAAGCGATGACCATAACCATCATAAAAAAAGCTTCCTTGTGTTTCTATCTGTGTTTGGAGGCTGTGGAGGACATAGTGTATGTGTGCATGTTCATGTGTATGTGGGTGTGCATGCATGTGGGTGGAGGCCAGAAATTGACCTCAGGAGCCTTCCTCTGCCGCTCTCTACCCTAGTTTTTGAGATATTGTCTCACAATGAGCATGGAGCTCCCTGATATTGGAAAGACTAGCTGACCAGCCGCAGAGATCTTCCTGTCTCTGCCTCTCCAGAGCTGGAATTGCAGGCCTGCATCAGTGTGTCTGGTTTTTAATGTGGGTGCTGGGGTTTGAACTCAGGTCCTGTGCATCTGTGAGAAGCTCCTTACTACCTGAGCCATCTTCTGCCCTCCTTGTCCTCCTTAGTAACCTCCTCCTCTTTCTGTATAACCCTATCTCTTCCTTTCACCCTAGGTATTTTGCACTGTCTGGAGTTTTATATAAAAGGCATCACTAGTTGTCTCTCTTTCTCCCTCATCCTCTCGTCTCTCTTTTCTCCTGAGTCTCGATCCCTCCTCCTACTTATTCCCTGCCCGCCAGCCCTCCTGTCCCTCCTCTGTCTAGCTATTGGCTGTTCAGCTTTTTATTAGCCCAATCATGTGCTTTAGGCAGGCAAAGCAAACATCTTTGCATAGTTAAACAGAGCAGCATAAACAAACGTAATACATCCTTCCCTAGTTAAAATTATATTCCACAACAGTAGATTATAGCTTTCAGTGACTTTGGAAAACTTGTATTTACTATCTTATAATAATTTCTCAATGGATTTGTACAGTATATTCAAATAGTTCTTAGTTCCCCATTCCTGCTCTCTCCTCCAGTGACTCCCTTACATGTAGACCAAGTTTCTTGAAGTTAATACACAGCTAATAGACCATCTTTTCATTCTTCAAAATTCTTTTTTCCATTTGTGTTTCATTTATCTGAACATCCACTGAGCTCCACCTACAGCCTAGGATCAGATTTTTGATACCCTTTGTTGCTACCATCTTCATCTGCAGCTACTCTTTCATCATTGAAGAGGTACCTGCCAAGGGCCCATCAGTATCCTGTCAGAGGCTCACATTGTCCCAAGAAGGTGACAGACAGGAGTCAACAAAGTAAGGCACCAGAATAATAAAACCTCTGTTTAAATCTTGGCTCCATGGATATATCTAATTGGCTGCCTAGGAAAATGAAGCTGATATTTCTGTGCGGTAGAGAGCTCAGAGGAGTGAGACTATGCAAATAAAACCTCTGGTTTATAATAAGTAGTCAATAAATGAAAAGTATTTTAATTATTTAGGGGTAAATGGTTATTTGAAGAGAGACAAGGGTGCAGGATTTGAGGTTCTAAAAATGGAGGCAATTGTTAATCCCACCTATCCAGAATAAGACCACTACCACAGTTTAAAGCCAAGTTTGAAGCAAGCTTTAATTAAATACTGACCTGGTGGATGGGCTCTGGCCAGTGTAACATGAGGGCCGGCTTGTTGGGGTTTCTGTTCCACCTGGTACCCCACAACCGGCAATTCCCAAAGAAAATAACACAGAGTCTACATTAGGTTATAAACTGATTGGCCCTTGTCTTAACCCATTATTCTTATCTATGTTAGCCATATGGCTTGGTACCTTTTTCAGCTGGGCAGGTTACATGTTGCTTCTCTGGTGGTCTGCGCAGGAGTGGCAGAGGGAGCGTCCTGCTTCCCAGAATTCTCCTGTTCTCATTGCATCACCTCTACTTCCTGTCTGGTTTTCCCGCCTATACTGCCTGCCTGGCCAATCAGCATTTTATTAAAATATGATTGACAGAATACAGACAATTCTCCCGCATCAGGCCAGGACCATAACCAGGTTCCTGGGAAAGAGACCAGAATCACAGTTTGCAGCGACTTAAGAAGGAAAACCCATAATTCATTGCATTTCTCATCAGGTCCAATCAGGAACAAGCGTACACCCTGACACATTTGCAGTCTGTGAACCTCCCACCCATACATGATCAAGCACTTGGGGGCAGTTGGGTGAAACAAACTTGTTTAGGGGAGTGAAAAACCCTGTGTTTTTTTTTTTAAATCTTCTATAAATAATAGCCTCCAGCATTTCAGGAAGTGTCTGTCTTCAGGCAAGGGCTAGCAGAGGCATTTTTTGTTTCAGGGATCTCTTTAAGCACAGTAATCAAAAGTTAAAATGGCTGGGAAGTGATGGCACACACCTTTAATCCCAGTACTCAGGAGGCAGAGGCAGATGGATCTCTGTGAGTTTGAGGCCAGCCTGGTCTACAAGAGCTGGTTCCATGACAGAATCCAGAGCAACACAGAGAAACCATCTCAAAACACCAAAACCAACAAACAAACAAACAAAAATTAAAAAAAACCCACACAAGACTTAAGAAGTAACTTTGGCTCTCACAGCAACCTCGGTCCTCTTCCTTGGGGATCCTATAAAGTCTTGCAGCCAATAAGATCAAAATGTGCTGTGTGCTTAGTAACATTCTCTGTTGAACAAAGACATCATAGTGATGCCCCTCTCAGAGTTCAGGGAACATGTTGTATGTCAGGTGAAAGCACCAATGTAGTGGCCTGAAAGCTCGCTCTCTCTCTCTCTCTCTCTCCTCTATCCCGCCCCCACAGACAAAACTCTCTCTCAAAAACCCATTTATCCACCACCACATACTATGTTCTTTATATTTTATTAATTTATAGTGATGTTGGAATTAGAAACATTGCTCTGAGAAAAATCATTTTGCCGTAAGAAATGAGTTTGAGTTTGTTGGATGGCAAGCCAGACTTCACAGAGATCTGGTATCTTCGGCTTCTCAAGAGCAGTGAACTAAAGGGCCATAAAATGGCTTTCTTCAGTAGCTGTCCTGTCTGTCTGTCTGTCTGTCTGTCTGTCTGTTTGTTTTTCAAGCCAGGGTTTCTCCGTGTAGCCCTAGTTGTCATGAAGAGACAGTGAAGAGAAACCACTCCAGCAGGTGAAGGGATGGCTGCGAAGAAGCCAAGAATCATCGACCACTCCAGGCTAGGAACCATCTTCTCCCACGAGGGTACTTGTCAGTTCCCCAGAGAGCATCTTCAACTGTCCAGAAGGATGAACACAGGCACAAGTCTTCTTCCAATTAAGGGAAGGAACACAGGAAAAACAAACAAACAAACAAACAAAAAAAACGGCAGCAAAGCAAAGCCACTGTTGCCTTGGCTTAGGAGAAAAAGGGATGCTGTTGTTCTTAGAGGGAACCACCTATGCCAAGGAGGGCAACATGGAAAGTTTGAGATGAATCCCAGAACTGGAAGAGAAATTTCTGTTTCTCGAAGGCAGTTTTTTAACTTCAGGGATGAGATCTAGTGTCAGCACCCTTCTCGAAGTCTTTGTCTTCTCCCATGCATGGTGTGCAGTGAAAAGGAGAAAAGCGCTTGTGTGCGTGCATACAGCCTCAGTGGTAGGTTACTGGGTACCCTGAGGCACCCTGGGAATCAAGGTGCCATTTGTTGAGGCAGAAGCCGTTCCTTTCCTAGAAGAGGCGCCTCTGGGCCTTGCACCTAGGTCGTGGAGGCTTCTGCCGACTCTGAGAGGCCTGTTTTTGGTGACTTGGAGGAGGAGATGGAGGGAGAGGCTGCAGTGGCGAGCTAGGCAGAGGGCACAGCATGCTGCCTTTGAGGCTCCAGAGAGACCAGGGAGCATATCTTCCTGCACTAGGTGGGCAGCTTGCACTCCAAGGACATGGCATTTGACCCTGAAACAGGGGGCTGAACACGCCCGTGAAGGGGGAAAGGATTTCTGGGGCCATGCGAGTTGGAGCATTCATCCACGAAATCACGAAGTTTTCTTGAGAGTCTTCCTGTGCAAAACTTTGGTTGTACGATAGAGATGGACTATTGAATCCCTGGTGGAAGGCAAAGACGTCATGGTCCTGGGGCATGTTCAGGACAGCGTCTTCCTGCATGCTAGCGGGCCAGAACACAGGCTGTCCAGGTTGGAAGGAGGCTTGGAGGCCCTCGGGGACTAGTATAATGGTGTGTCCAGGTAGGGACACTTGCATGACTGAGGTCGGTTCCGGCTCCAGCAACAGGTCGACGCCTTCCAGCTGTAGTTTCATGGCACAGCCAGTGGGAATGACCACCATGGAGGTGAGCTGCTCGCTGGCAGGCCTGGAGAAGGCTTCCAGGTCTGGCTGTGCCAGCAACCAGCAGGCAGGCTCCTGGAGGCGGCGGCGCTTGGCAGGCATGGGATCTTCCGGCTGCGGGCCCCAGCGGGGCATCGGGTAGGCACTGGGTCTTCACGGCCGCATTCCCAGAATTTTGGTGCCAATGCGCTCTTGCCTCTCGGTTGCGGGTGCCGGTGCACGACAAGGTCCGAGGCAGGTCATGGACCTGGGCGCTGCAGTTCTTTGCTCAGGAACAGCTGTCGTCTGGTTTCTGCGAGACACTCTGTGGACTCTCTGGGACAGAGTGGGTGCTGCTACCAGGATGACTGGCTGTTTGCTGATCAGGCGCGGTGGTGGGAGGACCTGACTTCCTTATATAAGCCTTGCTTCCGAGGAAGCCCCGCCCAGGCATGGGAGGGGCCCACGGAGGGAGAGACACCCAGCCACACCTTCAGGAACCCACCAGTGTGCATATGGGCATGAGTGTGACCGCCTGCGTGCTGTGTTTGTGTGTGTGTGTGTGTGTGAGTGTGAGGTTGTTGTTGTCGTTGTTGGTAGTGGTTCAGAGAAGGAATCAACCTTTGGATGTCTATGGTCTGTATTGCCTTTATTTTGTCAATGTACATACAGAAACACATGAAAACTCTTTTCCCACCCTCTACCACAGTCTCGTGAATGCCTTGTCCCACCCACACCTAAGTAGTTCTAGAGATTTTCTTAATTTGCAAAGCAAATTGAAATGGAAATTACCAAAGTGACAGCTGCGGTTTTCATTGGAGGTCAAGCTTGGTAATACAAGTGGATACTTTTTTTTTTTTTTTAATATGGCTGTTTGGAATTGAAAATCGACAAGGACATATATCACTGAGTGTAAATAATTGATCTAAGACAATACCTCAATGATAGCGTGTTTGCCTGCATCCTGGAGGCCAATGGACTTGAGCCCCCCAATGAAATCCACAATGAACTAATGTGAGGACTTTAGGACGCCTTTAATCCCAGGATAAGGGAGACAGGGAGGAAGACTGGCAGTTCAAGGCCAGCCTGCTACTGGGTGTGTACTGATCCAATCTATGTGCACAGTGTATTCAAGGCTAGCCTGCAAGCATGAAATCAAGTCTTCAGGATTTAGTTCACAGATCCTCTCAGTTCAACACCTGCTTGTTCAACATTCATACCCTTTCCCTCTGGTGTTTGCTCAGGTCTCTACGACTACTCCTAACTGTCCACTTAAGTTAGTACCGTGCCCTACTTGTGTACAGCAGCACAATCAATCCCCCCTCTGCCAACAAAACTTCCTGATATTTATATTGCTCACAAATCTGCAAATCCGGGCAGAGCTTGCCCGAGGGGTAGTTCATCTCTGCTCTTTCTCATACTAGCTGGGGTGGCTCTAAGACTGTGGCTGTGGTTAAGTGAAGGCTCATTCTTTACACTTGCCAGTTGATGCTGGCTTTGATAGGGATCTCAGAAGTGGAAGCTATCAAACCTTCCTATGAATGCCCAACTTGATCATCCTGGTATCTACATCTCAAGATGGCACACCCAGGAGTGACAGAGCCAGTGAAAACCATGCCACCATTTCTAACTCTTCCTTCAGAGGCCCACGCTATGTTTCTAACTCACTTTGTTCTTTAAAAGCAGATAGCTGTATCAGCCCTTATTCCACAAGTGGTGAATTGGGTTCCACATTTTTAGGGAGGCATAGCAAACATTGCCAGCAAGTTTGCCCACCGTGCAGAGTGCCTGAACAAGATGACAGAACAGTGCCTTGTTCTCACATCAGATGGGGAAAGGACGACTGTAGGCAATGCATCAGGGAACGTCCAATCCCCTGATCTTGGGATCTGGAGGTCTGCAGGGAGACCTTTCTGCAGGAGGGACCTGAGCTGTGGCAAGGGGAGAGAGCACTTCTGGGGAAGAGCCCAAGGCAAAGCTATGAAGGTGGGTTCTTGCATGCTGAGGCTGTTGAGTGACAGAACGGCTTAGCACTCGTAACTGGGTGGTAAGAGAACCTATGTTCTTTTCCTCCACAGTAGCTCCAGAAAGGCGATGAGAGGCCAGTTCTCCTCACAGAGCCAGGCACCCACCGGCTCTTGTCTGATACTAGCAGGGTGGCTTTGCACGTGACTTCCCTTTCCTGAAAGTCAGTTTCTCTCCCATAAAGTGAGTTTGGTAATATCCACCTTTCAGCGTCGCTTGGGGCTTAAGTGATGACCCTCCTGAAGGGATTAGCCTTTTTTGGGTGCAGAGAAGATCTAGCGAATGGTACGCAATACAATAGGGTGTTTTACCCGTTTTCATTACAGCCTTCATTGCCTCCCCCAAAGAACTTTATAGCTGGAAAGGGCAAGGATAGTGGTTATGGGCACAGATAGGGAACAGAGAAGCTCAAGGGAGCAATGCTAGATAGAGGTGGGCGGAGAATGTCTGGTCCTCCCGTTAGGAGGGACTGCTCACTGCAGATCAGAGTTTCAAACCTCACTCAGCGCTCAGCCGTGTTTTCCCAGAGGGACGCTAGGTGGCGCTGTGGGACCGCGATGGGTACCCAGGCGGGCCCTAGGGGCCTCCCAGAAGGTTCTGCCTTGGGCACCCTTCCAGGCGAGGCCTCAGCAGGCCTGCTTGCTCCAAGTTCCAGTCATTTTCCCTAGGGACAAGGAGCATCCTTTTACATGCTGTCTCATATTACCTTCTCCACTGGCTTGGAGGTCAATAGACCTAACTCTTCCCTCCTCCTAGCCAGAAGACAGGTGTGTCCCAGTATTAGAGGTGGAGGGTACAAGAAGCTCCCTCCGGGAGAGAGGGTGGCCTAACTGTAAAGACCTTTTTTTTTTTTTCCTCCTAAACACCAAAAATTCACAGACTCTCCTTTCTGGTTTTGAAATTTAATGATAAATCTCCATGGTCTACAACTTTTGGGACCTGCCTTTTCTACCACATCTGTTTGAGAGGATTTGTCATGGATCTTTTTTTGTTTTGTTTTTCGAGACAGGGTTTCTCTGTAGCGTTGAAGCCTGTCCTGGAACTAGCTTTTGTAGACCAGGCTGGCCTCGAATTCACAGAGAGCCGCCTGCCTCTGCCTCCCAAGTGGGGGGATTAAAGGCGTATGCCACCACCACCACCCTGCTGTCATGGGTCTTTTAAAGTGGAGTGGATAAGAAACAGAAGCCATCAGGAGTCCACGGGAGTGCAGTCTCCGCAAACCCTAATATCGCTGAATAGCTGGGAGTGTCACGTGGAAGTCTTGGGCCTAATTTAGACCCGGCAGCATCTGTGTTAAGGAGATCACCATGCAGACACAAACAGTAACCAGCTTCAGCAGGCTTGGGGAAAAGTACCCTGTGGCTGGGTAGACACTGGGTGTTGAGAGGGCAGAGGAGGACACGGGAGGTTAGAAGAGAACGGGACTCCCAGGAGCCGAATCAGGACTGGAACAGTGCAGGCAAGTGGGACCCAGCCTTCGTGGCTGAAAGGAGATGACAGAGCCCATTCGGATGTCTTCAGTGCCAGGAGCCTAAGGCAAACCCAGTGCTGACACCACCAGGGACTACTGTGATTCCCAGTCCCCATCACAAGGACCCTGCAGCAGCTGAGAAGGGTGGGGATGGAAAGCGGCCTGGAGACCACAGAAACCACGGTTTCACCCTGCCCTTGATGGGACTGAGTCATGGCTCCTCCGGCTCTTCGTGACCCTTGAAAAGAGTAGAGAGTCAAGATGACCTCATGCTTCTGTCTGTGAGGGGGAGGGCTGGCCAGACACAGCGATCATCCCACCCAGTGCTATTCACATGCACGTTCCTGTCTGCGCTGACGCGACAAAGTGTCCCCATGGCTTCATCTCCCAGCCCCAAGAAAGGCAGGAAATCAAACTCGAAGTCCATCCGCAACGTCTCAAGAGAAAATCTGGTCTACGGAGCCCAGGGCAGTCCCAAGACACACGCACACACACACTCGGGCGTGGAATGGAGAGCCTGCAAGGGAAGTCCCACGAAACCGTAAGGCCACATTCTATGTCTACATGCCAGCTTGCAATGCTGCGGCAGCCAGCCTGGCCTCACCGTCTCCCTCCACCACAAACTTGTGGACTGTCCCCCAGAACTGTCCTTGGAACTGTCCCCTGGAGGCCTTGGCTGTTGCTGGGGGGTTTTGGGAAGAGATGCAATGAAGAAGAATCTGAAATTGCTTTATCTGCCCGCAGCTGATAATCTCCTGAGACGCACACGCTCACAGTGGCCAGGGCTTTGGATAGCTGTGGAGGACAGGTCCCTTGAATACAACTCTGAGCCCCAGCCACAGAAAGAGGAATGTGACAGACACCAGGGAGGACTGAGTGGCCTGTAGACCCACGTGTGAGAAGCCTCCAGAAGACAGGCGGAGTCTCTGTTCATGCCTGATGCTCCTACCTCCTATACGCTGATGGCAGAAGTTGGGGGACACTTGGCTTATGCTGTTGGCACTTAAGATGTAGGTTCATAGATTCTGGAGGCATTTTGCATGTCATGTGATTTTCTTATGTTAGAGCCTGGCAAGGCTCCAAGTCAGGAAAATGTCAAAAGTCTCCTTCTGTGTTCCCTGTTCCCCTTCTGGGGCTCCTGAACAGCCCCCAAAGTTTGCTCTGTCAGCCCATGTTTCCATCTGCAGAATGGGGCGAGAGCACTCAAAGCGGCCCTTGGGGCTGTCACGGGATTAGTGGGTAGCTGTAAGGAGACCCGGGGAAGGGCAGTGCGCCATTAAGTGAAGGGCTTTTTGCTCCCTAGTGGAAAAAAAAAAGCAATGTGTTCTTAAGACACACAAGCCAAACCTCCACCCTCAAAGCCAAGTGAGTTCAAGACATTGAGCCCAAAGCAAACCTGAGGGGTTTGCGGAGGAGGCCTTTGAAGTGAGGGCTCCCCCGCCCTCCCTGGCTCTGGCAGCTCCCTCGCAGCCCGGCCTGATGAAAGAGAAGAAGGACTCTGTTGTGGTTTGACACATGCCCCAGATGTCAGGTTGCAGCTCTGTTCAACAATTAGCTCTCAGAGGTGGCAGCTGTGTGCAGTGAGGAGCCCAGGTCCCAGTGCCAGGCAGACCCCATACTCCCCTCTGGGGCGCTATCCAACTTTTCCAGTAACCTGGAG